AGACGAAACGTTTCATTAGAGAAGAACCCGTCCAGAGGACCTATACAATGTTTTTCTTTTTTTTTTAAACAGCCTACAGTATTTTTACAGTCATTATTTTACAGTTAATATATGTTTATCAAATAAAGTCTAATGTTACAACTAATCATGGATCCCTTTAAATGAGTTGCAGTTGTTAACAGCATCACCATCATTTCTGTCCAATGGGAGCAATCCTTWTCACCCACATGGCTTTGTTTATAAATTATAGTCTGCTTGCAACAAAAAAAAGCACAATGTGAATGTAAACCAGTCTGCTTTTGGTCCAGACCAAACAARTGGACCAAAGGACCTCTCTGGTGTGAACCCTAAGAGTCCGAGTTCTTAAATCTGGAGGCGCCTCATTACAAAAGTTTTAACCAAAAGAAAGATGAACCTAAATCATTCTTTTACCTCTGTTTTTAATAATTACTCCCATTGTTCCTCTGGCTTTAAAAATCATTTTACCACCTCTGAAACAAGTCATTTAAAAGTCAGCTGATTCTAACTTTGTAAAATGATTTTTAATCAACGCAGTCATTAAAACAAAAAATGGAGCCCCGACTAAAATAAAGAAAATCAAGAAGAAGCTTTGAACCACCTGTACCAGGTAACGCTGACGTCTGACATTTAGTTATTTCATTTAGATAAAATGAACCAAAATGTAAARCAGATTAAAGGTTATTAATGGTTCAATGTTGGGCCTGAAGTCACCTGAGCTTGTTGTTGTGATCARTCAGAGCAGATGAAGTGAGTGAACAGACTGAAGCATCAGCAGACAGTTTGACACCACGCTGATTAAACCCCAGGAAGATGAAACGCTCACTGGACCACAAAACATTAAAAACAAAATGATTTTTTCATCACAGCACCTCTTTATTCCACTATTCTCCTTATTCACACATCTTCCACCTGTCACTTCTTTATCATCTTCTGCTCAGTTTTTCTTCTGATTGTTTCATCTTCTATACAGTTTGGTTTTTAAGCTGATTTCTGTCAGGTTGCAGCTGGATCAGTGTGTTTATCTGGTGTTTTCACGGCTGAGTTTGGGAGTTAATCTCTTGAATGAGCAGAGCTCAGCTGGTGGTTCTGTTCTTCTAAAGAAAAGAAAAAAATAAGTTTTCTTACAGAATTTGCTGAAAGTAAGTGGTCCTGCTTTCTCTGCTGGAAGAGCTGATGAGAGGAATTTAAGGATTAGAGATGAGAAGTGTTCCTGCSTGAAGCTGAATTCATCCACAAGCTGCTTTCTGCTCCTTTTTAGTCACATTTTACCTTGTTTTGCTGCCTCCTTTTTCACATTCACTTTGTTTGTTTTTGTTTAGACTTTACTCAAAGTAATAAAAAATATAAATTAGTTAAAACCAGGGGT